AAGTCAACACTCAAAAAATCAATAGCATTCCTATACACAAACAACAAACGCACTGAGAGAGAAATTAAGGAAACCATACCTTTCACAATAGCACCCAAGAAATTGAAATATTTAGGAATCCATCTAACAAAAGAAGTAAAAGATCTATTCAATGAAAACTACAGTACTCTGAAAAAAAAAGATTGAAGAGGATTTCAGTAAATGTAAAAATATTCCTTGCTCATGGATAGGAAGAACCAACATCATGAAAATGGACAGACTACCAAAATTGTTGTACAGATTCAATACAATTAAACTACCATTAGCATACCTCACAGATCTAGAGAAAACATTCCAAAAATTAATCTGGAACCAGAAGAGACCCAGAAGAGCAAAAGCAATCCTGGGCAACAAAGACAAGTCAGGTGGAATCACAATACCTGACCTGAAATTATATTACAAAGCTACTGTAACAAAATCAACATGATACTGGCTAAAAAACAGACCTGAGGATCAGTGGAGCAGACTGGAAGAAACAGCGACAACCACAAAAACACTCAGCCACCTAATCTTTGACAAAGGAGCCAAACAAACTCACTGGAAGAAAGATAGTCTCTTTAATAAATGGTGCTGGAAAAATTGGCTTGTCACTTACCGAAGACTAAAAGTAGATGCAAGCCTATCAGCATGCACCAAACTCAAGTCAAAATGGATCACAGATCTCAATATTAAAACACAAAAACTAAATCTATTGGAAGAGAAAGTAGGTAGAAATCTTGAAGACATAGGGGTAGGTAAAGACTTCATGAACAAAAACCAAACTGCATTGGAAATAACTTCAAAGAATCAATAACTGGGATCTCATCCTACTGAAAAGTTTTTGCACATCTAGAGAAATCACCAGCAGAATAAAAGGAAAACCCACAAATTAGGAAAAAATTTTAGCTGGATGTTCCTTGGACAAAGGTCTTCTATCTAGAACATATAAAGAATTAAAAAACATCAACTCCCTCAAATTCAAAGACCCAATCCTAAAATGGGCATCTGAGATGAATACACACTTCTCTGATAAAGAAACACAAATGGCAAATAAATACATGAGAAAATGTTCAACATCACTAGTCATTTGAGAAATGCAAATTAAAACAGCATTGAGATTTCATCTGCCCCCAGTAAGAATGGCTACCATTAAGAAATCAACCAATAACAAATGCTGGCGAGGCTGTAGAGAAATAGGAACTCTTCTCCACTGCTGGTGGGAATGCAGACTGATGAAATCACTGTGGAAATCAATTTGGAGATTCCTCAGCAAAGTAGGTCTGGAAGTCCCATTCAACCCAGCTATTCCCCTTTTGGGTATTTTCCCGGAAAATCTAAAACATCATATCACAGCGATATATGTGCATCCATGTTTAATGCAGCACAATTTGTAATAGCTAAATAGTGGAAGCAATCCAAAAGTCCATCCACTTAGGAATGGATAAAAAAATTGTGGCATTTTTATATAATGGAATATTACTGAGCTATAAAGAAAGATAAACTTAAGGCTTTTATAGGTAAATGCTCACAACTAGAGACCATACTCATAAGTGAAATAAATCAGACCTGCATGTGTAAGCAATGTATTGTCTCACAAGTGTAAGAACCTGAAAGAGTAAACAAAAATTAGGAGGTATGATAGACATTGTGAAATGAAAGGAAACTGCTTAAAAGTAAAGAGCCACTGGGAGGAGGGAAAAGCGTAAAGAAAGAAGGGGAAAATTACGTATATATGTATATACAGGATAGCTAACATAGTTGTACTACTGACTTCTGTTGCTTTGCTGAAAGGAACAGTTAATGATTAATGATTTGATCAGTCTTGCATGTCTATGTTTGTTTTCCTGAGTAACCACTTTGAAGATATCAATATGTAATAAAACAACCACTGTTAATTTCCTGTCACCTTGTCTGTAATTCATTATTGCTTGTATTGTTCTTGTGCTATTTTGTAAACGGATGTCTGTTTGTTAGTATGTTTTATTCTTTTATTTTTAAAATAAAAAAACTTCTGAATTGTATGTAATACAAAGGTGAATTTTATGACATGTGAATAATATCTCAGAAAGTTATTTTAAAACAGCAAATGAATGAGAAGGGTGGCACATTTGCATCTGAGACAGAGGATTTAGGAGCTGGTTATCAAAGACATGATAAGGGGCAGAACATGGGGAGCTTTCCACACACCAGTGCACTCGCTTGTCACTGATCCCTCCTCAGAGCACGGAGGTCCTTTCAGTCTGTACCATATTATCTGTGACCCAAAATCTGTTGGTTGGCAAGAGCTTTTTCTTTCCCTAAATTTCAATATATACTTAAATATTTATAAAACATATAGGGAAGCAAAAGTAAAAATTAAAAGCTAGATACAGGATGTAACCTAGAAAAAAAATCCCTGCTGAAACAGCATAAAAGTAAGCTGTGGACCTTTTCTTTCTTTTCCACTTTATGTTTGTTTTTCAAAATGTGACTTACAAAAACTTTTAAAATAACAGATGTCACATAAAGCCCACTTTATATTCACAAAGCCCACCTGTGCTACAAAGTATAATACTATGGTTATTCTGGTTAAAACTTTACAAATTGTAAGATGTTCAGGAACCCCAGGAGAAAATATCTTAGTGCAAGACTGCTTCCAGCCTGCTTGTGTTATAAGCTCACGCCTTGTTTTCCTACCCAGGAAATCCAGGTAGGACAGAATGTCTGGCCATAGTATTTTGGGGCTAAAGTAGACTTAAATAACTTTTGCATATGCCAGAAATTGAAAATATCTTAATTAGAGAATCATAACAAGGGAATGGAGAGATAAAAACAAATTCTTTGCTATAAGGTAATACAGAAATAAAAAATACATTACACAATACTTTTAAAAAATTGTTTAAATAAATATCAAGTGACAAAAGTATGACCAGGCATCACTAATAAAAGTAGTAAATGACAGAACAAAATTTTTGATATACTTATTTATTCATTCAACTAAATTTTTATCAAGTACTATACAACAATAAAAACAGACTACTTCTACTCTTCTGGAGCTTAAAATTTATTCAGTAACACTCTGGCCACCCCAAAGAAAGTAATAAAATTATGTAAAGAAGTAATAAAATTATGTAAATGAAATACTTGAAAGAGCACTGACCAGATAATCTCAAGATGTGAAATCCAATTCCATGTCTACCAATTACTAAGCAAGTGATAACTGTATGTGTCAACTCAGTTTCATATCTTGAACAATGGTATGATATTACCTGTCCTGAGAATTTCATCAGTTAACTATAAGAATCACAAAGAAAATATTCAAACATGTCCTGAAAATGATCAAAAGCTCTATTATCACAGGCTAGTGCTATTAATAAAATCTATGAAAAGTTATCAAATTCCTTGCAATAAGTTAATATGGACAAGTGTACTGAGTCTATGCAGACAGACACAAAAGTCAATGCTAAATATTCAATACATATTCTCAAGCAGGACTCCAGCCTCAGAAAGAAAAAAATGAGCCAACCAGACTTCTATCAAACTTCCAAACTGAGCAACAACCGCCCTATATTTCTTTATGCTTCAGGATATGTTTGTTGACCCTATTTGAATCTTTACAAATGATGGAACTTTGAAACTACAGACAAATCCACTCGGTAGAAGAAAATAACAATTGTAATTGTAACCACACGAACATGGCTGTTTTTATTTAAATTATTTCTGCACTTCTGATGGAAAACACTGTCCTTACAAAAAATGAAAAGCTTAATACATGACTAAAATATAAAACCTCAAAATTAAACTCATGAGGAAAATGAATTTAATTTGGCCTAATTCTGGTTTGCAACATTACTGTCAGATAATGAACCGCTCTCCCTATGAATCACTGGTGAACACTAAGCATCAGAGATAGTTAATACATATAAGTGCTCAGTGACACCATGAACCCAGACAGTCTGTCTTTTAGGGGCTGGAGGAGTAGAATAATCCTGCTTTTCCTCAAACACTAGCAAACATATACTATGATAGCTAAAGGGAAATTTAATCCTTCCTTCTGGACTTGGAATAAGAATATATACTCTGTCCCAGACCTAAATGTGATATCACAGTGCACACTTCAAGAACAAGAAAGGAAAGAAAATAACCACGGATGGACGGGCTTTGTGTAATTTCCAAATCATACAACCTTATCATCTTGACAAATGGCAAACAAGAGGCAAAACAACTGTGGGAAAAGGTCTCAGTTTTTATCCATTTTTTATGTTTGGATCAGAGCCGAAGTTCCTTGGCACTTTCTACATAAACCCACTCCCACCAAGGAGTCTAGAAGTTGAGTGATTTTACTCAAGATCTGAGGGCAGAGTCACATTCCAGACTCTGATGTCTGCCACCATATCGCCTTCTCTCACCCACAGGAAATTTTCTCCCAGCTCTTTCTCTGTTGTAAATAACAACTTCTTCCATTTGTCCTCATGTTTTGCACATGCCATTTTTCTCAAGGTATGATTTTCAGTCATCAACATTTCAAATAAGTTTCACAGACAATGAAAGAGGGAGAAAAGGGAAATAAGATACAAAGAGCACATCAATCCCTCAAAAGCAAATAGGGAAATGGACCCATTCAACCACTTCCCATCCATTATGTAACGGGGAACTTTCCAGCAAGGAACAACAATATCAGTAACTTAGCTTACTAACTTCATCATCTCAAAATAAATAACTTTAGAACATTAGCACAGACTTTCATATTAGACAAGCAGCGTAGTTTTTATATTGCAGAATGTTGAAGGCTTGGGCACATTCTCATTGCTTGGCCGGTCTCTATCTGGATGGCAGAGCTGCGGGCACTTCATGGGTAAGGTTAGGGCCCAGGGCTAGGTTTCCCGGGTGAGTGGAGTTCTGCATATTGTAAGGTGTTTAGAGCATTGGTTGCAGCAATTAAAAACCTACCTGTGGGTTCAACAGACATTAAAGGCCACTCTCACTCAGCACCTCAGACTTACTTGCATTCCTGTGTCGTTGGTCCTCCGGGAGAGGAGCTTCCATATTCCAAGTTGGATGGTGCGAAGTAGGTCGTGCAGTAGGTGTAATTGTACTCTCGTTATAAACTGTATTTATAAGAATAATATCAAGCACTTGGACTTCACCATCAGTTACCAAAGGTTCACTTCCATTTGATGTTAAATAGGTTGTTTTTAATGTCCCTGGGAGGGGGCAGAAAAAAAACATTTTAAAACATTACGAGAGCTGGGCATGGTATCACACATTTGTAATTCCAGCACTTGGGAGGCTGAGGCAAGGGGATCCTAAGTTCAAGACCAGCCTGAGCTAAAAGATACATTAAGAAACCACTAGAGTCACATTCCTGTGTGTCATTCCACAGAGGCAAACACAAAGAGCAAACACAAATGGCCACTACAACTCCTCCATTCACAAGGACAGCCAGGAGAATTCCTCTGCTCCCACAAATCACATGGCCCTATGAAAAAAACTATAACTTTCTTGAGAACTTCAGGTTTAGAGACAGAATATCCCACCTAGATTTACTTGTCCCCCAAAAATTTTAGACAATTTTACCTCACTTGGGACTCAGCTTTAAAAAAAAAAGTGCAAACCTTACAGTGTTTCCTTCCCACTTGCTCAGTTTCTTCTTTTCATCATGCCTGTGTACTCCTGGGACCTAGGACACAGTTTCTTAATTTCACCCATCACTGTAGTGCATGGGACCCAGCGTGCATGCTCCACTCTCTATAGCGTACCTGCCACCGAAGGAAAGAAGGTGCTTGCTCTCAGCTTGTGTCCCCCAGAGCTCACACTACCTTCAGGGAACTACACAGAACATATAAATGAAAATAATAGAGCTCAGATATTCACCAAGATTTAAATCATAGAACCAAAACACACAAAATAAGAGAAAAAAGGAAATTATTTTCATATGTAACCAGAGGCTAGAAAATAAAATTACATGAAATAAAAATTTGTCATTAAACTGTTATCAGCTGGTTACTTAATCAGTGTATCCATCTAAGCAGGCAAAACAAAGAATCAAACCTAAAAATATTTAGAGTCACCTAGCTTTCTCTTTAAGTAGAAACTTTAAAACTTTCAAAGAAATAGTGTATTTTTAACCCAGTCAAAATAGGCAACAGATGGAGTTTCCATGTAGCTGAGCATATCGACAAAAATAAATGACTGTGATATTGATCCATCCTTAGAAGGACCAAAGGGGGATATCTTTCTCTAAAAACATTTACAGTGAATGTTCTAACTGACTCTCACTTTTCTAAAGAGACCCGTGAGCCGTTAAAAAGAAATATAAATAAAATGTTTAACATCAGTCTATGGAAAAAATTTCTCTATATGTGTTTGACACTTGGAAAACATTAACTCCAAATCAAAATAGAAAAGCAGCTGCTTTCTAGCTAACTAAGGTCAACAATTTCATTCGCTAGTGGATTCTAAATAAAATACTGCAGCACGAAAGTTAAATCCTGACTAAGTGATGCAGGTAATACACTCTTCAAACTCTATAAGTATCAGATGCACTAGGTAAAGTGAAGAAATCATTCAATTTTCATTTTCAAAAATTTTGAATGTGATCATTATTAAATAAAATATAGTTCATTCACATAGAAAAATGTATGAATTCATTACATATAATTCATTTTCATCTGTTTCTTAGTTGCCCTCTCCCTTGGTTATTGTAGCACAGATTTCTCACATGATATTTCTCTAATGTGGCTGTAACGAATATATAAGCCCATTAAGTTGATTGAGTTATCATTGCTAAACTTAACAATCAGCCTCCATCTAGGTCAACAATTCCTTGCATTTTTACCCCAGAGTAATTCTCTTTAAGTGAGTCCTCATCTGAAACATTTCAACAGTTGTTCTTAGCATTCTGTTTGTAGTAACTAGCCTTATTTATAATCTCGCCTTTATCTTTTTTAACCTAAACACAGGTGTAAAAGTGGGAATAGCATGTGTTTACCCTAAGAAGCCCTTTGAAATACTGGCTTTTTAGACACACTGACTTGCATGACTTTCTTAAAAAGCAGAAGTAGCTCCCTTGCTCTAAAACACTATCAAAGTAATTTAGCAAATATAGAGAAAGATAATATATAATAGTTCTTATAGCTAATGTTCCCAAAGTATGGGAAAGGGAGGAAGGAAACTGGTGGAAAGACAGGAGAAAGAAGAAGTCTAACGGACATATTTTTAAAGGTTTGAACTCAATGGAAAATTTGTTTTCAAGCATCTCTGGAAATGGACTAACAGCCAACACAGTTAGTCATCTAGTATGCACTCTTGAAATGCACAAAAATAAGAGCTCAGGAAGACTAAATCTTATTAGTCTGCACAATGGTGAGCTATGTGAGATGCTGAAAGGTATTAGCCCAGAGTCAAATGTTCATTCTTCTAATGTTACACCATCATTTTCTTCATTCCTGTTTTTATGAAGCAGTGGTTAAAAGTATAAGTCCACTAGCCTAACCACATGAGCTTCAGTCCCTTACTAGTCCTCAAACATTGTACAAACTCTAAACTGCCGTGAAGTAAGGAAAATAAAAGAACTTCCCTCGTGAGGTAGTTGTTGGGGATCAAACTAGCCAACACCTATATAAACCTTTGGAAAAGCTCTTAGCACACAATTATTTCTTTAAATAGCTATTGTCACTACCCAATGATGATAACAATAGTAAAAGTGTCTTCCTCAAGCTGTTGAGGTACAGTATTTCTAAATAAACAGCAACTTCCTTCTCATAAGTGTATCTCAGCATCACAAAATGGTTAATTTTAAAAAGTGAATTTCATTGCTTCTCAGCCTTGTGGCTAAGATGAAGTGTAAAAAGTGAATCATTTAATTCACTATTTGGAGTAAAAAATCTGTTTTTTTTTTTTTTCATATTAAAGTTATTGGTAGAAGGTCAACTGTATCAAGATTATATGGCTCCAAAGTATTTTGGATCTATAAAAGAACAATTTAATAATGTTTAAGAAATAATCTATAATTCTAGTAGCCAAACTTTAATGATACCTTATAATGAATATTGGGCAGTATAATAGGCAGAATAATGTTCTTCAAGAAAAATCCATGTATTTATTCCCAGAACCTGGGAATATGCTACTTTACATGCTTTGCACACAACACAGAGGTTGTAGATATAATTACATTAAGAATCTCCATATGGGGAAATTATCTCAAATTATTCAGGTGAGTCCAATGTAAGCTCAAGAGTTTTTATACACAGAAGAGAAAACTAAAAAAGTAAGTGTCAGAGTCATGAAATCTGAGAAAGACTCAAAGGGACATGGCTTGTTTTGAAGATGAAAACAGGCCATAAGCCAAGGAATGTGCAAAACCTTCAGATGCTAGAAAAGGCAAGGAAATGGATTGTCACCCAGAACCTCCAGGATGAACACCTTAATCTTCATCTTGTGAGACCTAATTTGGATTAGCAATTTTAATAACTCTTAAGACAATAAATTTGTGCTTTAATCTACCAAGTTTTGCGGGACACAGCAGTAGGAAACTAGTACATGTTACTAAATGCCTGCACTATAAGCATCAACTGAGTTAACTGTTCGACAAATCTATGAAATGAGTGACATAATTAGCCCCCTTTCACAGTTTTAAAGAGAAGGCAACTGAAGCCTTAAGGTCAATTAACTTACCCATTAATTTGATTAGGACGTGACAGACAGATATACATACTCCGATGCACTTCATCTCTTGACACAGAAAACAGTTCTTCTAAAAATCAACCATTACATGCTTGCAGAATTTATCTCGCTATGATGTGATTTTAAAGTTAATTTCTTATCTTTGTGTTGTAGCCATGTGTAACACATTTACTTTGCATTTTTTATGCGCCAGAAGCTTCATACTTACTCTGCTGAAAACACAAAATTTAGTAAAATGTTCTTACCATCAAGATGTTTATACATTAGTTGAGGGAGGCAGGCATGTAATGCAAAAAATATAAACCATGTCGTGACTGCTTTGAGAATGATATGCATAGGACAGGCTTGTGACAAGGAGGTAGAGTAGTAGTTGCCATTCCATTTGAAAAAAATCAGGACAGCTCTCTTAGGGGCATGAATACTTCTTGCGAATTTAAAAGAGGTTCACATATTTGGTAGTTTGAGCAAAGTATTTGTGGGCAAAGGAGTCTGATAATAGCGAGTGTAACTCTGCTAGGAAGATCAAAGAGCAAAAGTTATAGAAAAGTGTAGGACCAAGTCATTAAAAATGGGCAGCACGTGGGGGATGGTAAGAGAAAGGGCTGGCAAGCAGGTGGAAGCCAGATGTGAATGATAAGTCCCGTTAGAGTTTTGGAACTTAGCTTGTTGTGCGGAAGAACTTTTGAAGAGTCAAGTGAGGTGGAGTTTCATTAGAATAATCACAGTGGCAGCCATCAAGGTGATGTTTGAAATGGGTCAAGCCAGATAATGAAAGACTATTGTGAGAAAAGAGTGAGGCCTTGCCCCAGGCAAAAACAATAAGAACAAAAAGGCCCTGGGAGAGCTCTTCCAGACAAAAATCACAAAGATAGGAGGCAAAGGGTCAAAGGACTCCAAGATATCTGGTTTGAAAGACTATAAGCAAAGGGGCTCCCCTCTGTGGTACGTGCTCCTCGTTAGTGCTGTTCATCACAGATTGCACTTCTTCCCTCCCATCTGGCCCACGCACAGGGAGGGGCTGCACTCCCTGGCCTTTTGGGGCAGGCCTTGCAACAAGTTCAAGGTCATAAACTGACAAGGATTGCTTCTAGAGAGGGGGGCACTTATTTTACTGCTGATACAGAGCTCCCATAACTCTGACATAATAGCCACAAAGATGCAGCAGGTCCATTAACGTGGTCTCCAAAGGGCCTCAATGAACACAGCCTCTACCCTCTCTCAAAGGGCACACAGCATGCATTAGAAATTAACCTTTGCATGTTTTAAGCCACTAATATTGGGGGATTGTTTGTTGTTATTGTTACACAGCAGAGTTGAGCCCAACTGATACAACAGACAATGGGGAACGAAGAATAGATTTGCAGGAGCTTATTTTTGTAGCTATTGTTATGCACATATTGAATATAAAATGCCGTGAAACTTATAAGGGGAAAAAGCCTGAGTCTAGAACAATCAAATGCCAGACTCCCAAACTGGCCCCTTCCTTGTGTTCCCAGAGCACACACTGCTTACGTGGGGC